ATAGAGTTGCTCATAATATGTTCTTATAATTGTTTGTATTTCTTTGGTGTTGGTTGTGATCTCTCCTCTTTCACTCATGATTTTGTTGATTTGGGTCATTTCTCTTTTCTTTTTGATAAGTCTGGCCAGGGGTTTATCAATCTTGTTAATTCTTTTATTTTAGCAGATTTCTTTGGGCCTGTATTGCATGTCTGAATCTTTTCCCCATCCACTTCCCTCCCCAGGTCCTAACTTAAGTGTTCTTTCATACCCTAATCCAGTCTGTCACCTGTCACCAGACCACTGCAGGAGCCACTAAACTGTGTCCCCCTCCTCCCTGCCCCACAGACTTCACCTTCTCCTGTTCATTCTCCCTACAGTCATCATGTAGGAGGAAATGTTTGCAACATATTCAAATTAGGGTTTTTTTTTTTAATTGTAAAGAATGCTTAAAAATCAATGTGAAAATGCTGCATATACAAATAAAACAAAATGGGAACCCTCATGGCTGGTAAACATAAAAAACATTCTACTTCCCTAGAAATGAAAGAAACACAAATTTAAATGAGAGGATGTTATTTCTGCCTCTCAAGTTGTGTGAGATTAAAGAATGTATGCAGTATTAGCAAGGATTTGGGGAATAAAAACTCCTAAAGATTGCCAGTTGGAGTTTAAAATGGAGGGCAATTTGATAATGTGTGGCGGAAGACTTTACAATGCGTTTAGAGATTCCACTTCTATGAATCTGTCTTAAGACAATAATAGGACGGTGTTTAAAAGCCATATGTATAGAGGAGGATGTTTGTTGGAGCTGTTTATAGTGATGAAATACAGAAAAGAGCCTGAACCAGGGGACAATAAATAAAATTTGGTATATCTAGACAATGGAATTTTATGGAGCCACAAAGAATAATAATGTAGAGGTTTTTGGGGTTTTGATTTTTTAGATTTATCCTGAAATACTTCCAACAATATATTTTTCAGGTGAAAAAGTAAGTTACAGAGCAGCATATATGTACCTCAACCTCTTTTTGTCAGGAAGAAGTATGTTGGGGGATGGTATGTATAGCACAGGGAAAAATCTGGAAGACTATATGCCAGTGCTAATGGGTTTTGCTTTTGATGGTAAATATGTAGGTGGTTTTAATATTTTTACATCAAATGTAATATTTTTTTCACTCTTATCTGTATTTTGTCATTTCATACAAACAAATATCATGGGGAAAAATATATATATATAAAATAAATAAATAATATGTTTTATATTATTAAATATTATATATTATATATATACTTATGTATATTATATAATAAATGCATTTATTATATATAATATATTTTATATTTATAACACATAAATATGTATTTATATATAATATGTATATAAAAATATATATATTTATAGATGTATTTTTTTTCTTTAGAAAAGACATGGCTTCCTCCTGCAGAGGTTGAGAGCTGAGACTTAATAAGTAATATTTTCTTTTTCTTTGAGAGCTAGGGTATTTAAGTAAATTCCTTAAGAGAAGGAGCTTAAGTAGAAAATATATTGAATCTGGCTAGTTAGGTGCATGGCTCTCTGTTCCAGTGTTTTTGTTGTTTTCTACATTTGAAATGCATTACATTTAAAAGATTTCACTTTTAAGATACATAATAAAGTGGGAGAGAAAATACTTGTGACATAACTATAATGTAAAACATTAGCAATTCTTTTTGTTTAATTGTGTATCTTGTTAAATTAGTATTTATTTTTTCAAGTAATATGTGACCACACTTTTAGAAATGTCAGAAAGTACTGAATTCTAATAAAAAATATCAGTCCCCTATCCCACCTTTCTGTACTCCAAGACCAACTCCCAAACAGGGGAACCTCTAAGCAAATTATATCAGCATTTTCACTACCATATTTCTACACATCAGTGTTTTGCTTATAATGCTATTTAAAACAGTTTATTGATTTTGGACATTTTTTGATTGCCTCCTGGTTGTGGTAGATAGGATTTTAGCTCTCCAGCACCCCCCCCAGGTGTTACTCCTACTCCCCCATGCTTCCCCCTATGGCTACATCATAATTTTTCGTTAAACCCAAAAATTACGATGTAAGGACTGTTCACTCTTGAGCATGGTAGTCTACTCTGTTTCCTTTGTTGAATCTCTCTTTGTTTTTCCCAGAGTTAATTACCTATTTTTATGGTGTTTTATATTTCTTTCTTTATTTTTTTTATTGAAGTACAGTTGACACAATGTTATATGAGTTCAGGTGTGAGTTAATTGCCTTTTTATTTGCATAGTTTTCTGTGTACTTGGGAAAAAATAAGGCTACTCCCTCCTCCCCGCAATTATGCCAAGCAATTTAAAATTTTTTCAAAATCTTAACACAGCAAAAAAAATTTTACCAAGTTCATTCTTTTCCCAAAGAGTCGTCTCCTTTCCACCGTGGACTGGTTGTTCTCTAGCCTTACTGTATAGTTCCAACCCGAGGCTTCTTTTCACCCTCTTCAGTTGGAGTCCTAATTTTCCTGGATTTCCTCTAGTCTTCTTAACTTTTCCCTGATGTACATCCTGTAATAGTTTTCTCAGAGAGATTGTGTGGGAGGTGAATTTTTTTATCTTTGTTTTACCTTTACATTTGACTGTTGGGTTGAATTTTGGAATTCCAGGTTGAGGCTCACTTTTCCTTAGAATTTTGAAGGTGTTTCAGAGCTGGAAACACAAAGATCCTCCTGGTTAGAAAGACAAACAAGCTTTCCTGGCTTTCCCACAAAGGTGCCCATTAGACAATGAACCTGACCGATAAGGGTGAGGATCCTGTCAGGTCCTTCAATAAGCCAATCCCATATTCCAGAGACTGGCTGTGTGCTGGTCCTTCCATCAGGTACAAGTAACTGGTAACAACACCCATGTTGATTGCTGGGTGAAGCTAAGCCCACCTTCTCAGGTGTACCATCCTCCTAGTGAGCCTAACCTTCAGGCCTGCCTTATTTCTGTTCCTGCAGGCTTCTTTGGGTGATAATGGATTCATTCCCACTGGGGTTGCATGGACAGAGATGAATGATTAACCGATTCCTGGAGACTTTATAGATGGGCAACTTATGACTTTAAGAGAATCCTCTGACTTTAAGGTTCCATGAACCTGTGACTGTCGAACTGGTATTCTTTGCCAGGATGACCCTTCCTGTGATCTTGGCCTGCTTCTCTCCACACTCATTCTTTAAGACTCAGTTAAGGGGTTTCCTCCTCTAGGAAGCTTTCATCTTCATTTCTTCTTCTTTCCTACCAGCTATGTGCTTTGTGTGTCTATTTTTCTTTTTTAAACTCAGAGTTATAGTAGTAAGGTGTGGTCTTTTTACCCAGGACATGTCTACTGACCCCAGATGTATCCATGCAACCCAACCTAGGTGGCAGGGAGCAAAGAAGTGTTTTGAGCCAGGAATGGCTATCAGAAATGACTAGAATGTGACTGAGGGAAGTATGTTTTTGTATATCCTTCATCAAATAAGAGTTCTAGATTTAAAGAGTGGAGGGGACTTTTATGGCTGCAAGGAATCTTAGCAACTTCAGGGCATATGAATTATTGAGGGGAGGAAATGGGCAAAATAAAATCTTTACTGGTGCAGTGTTAGTGTACCATTGTATCTGGGGTCAAGAAATCTGATTTTAAAATCATAGCTGTCATGAAGAGCTTCTTGGGTACCAAGAGGAGCTTGGGTAATATTTTTAACTTCTGTGAGCACCTCCTTTTTTTTCATCTTTATGGGCAACAGTGTCCTCCCCGCCCTGAGTTGTAAGAATTAAATGTGAACTAGCATGTGAAAAGACCTTGTGTGGTACTTCTGTTTTTTAATCTATAAGACTTATGTCAGCAGGAAACACTTTCCCAATCTAGTAAACTTTAACTCCTTCTGGAAAGGTCTTGAGTGCTTTTACTAGTGTTAGTTGATCCTAGTAAGTTACGGTCTAGATATCCTAAATTGTTTTGTCTTTCATTTCTGTAAACAAGTTATAAAATTTATAGTGATTGATCCTAGTAGTTTCTGGAAACATATTTGTAATGTATCTGTTGAGCCAGCCTGTATCTGAGCTATATTCCAAAGTATGATTTTGTCTGCATGAGAGTCTCTTTGGTTGTGGTCCCTTGTAATAAAGAGCTCTTTTAAAATTCTGCCACATCCATACCCATGCTTTGATTTAGATTTGATTTGACCAGTATATTTAATTGATGAATAGTTGAACATTCTCTAGTATATGTATAGACAATGCCGAATTCATAGTGCATTAAAGCTATTTAAGGTAATCTATGTTAAGACAATCTATATGACATAGTTTATGGTCTATTAAGAAAGCTATATAAAGCAAAATTATTCATAATAACCTTTCTATGGAACATGCATTTTTTTCCAGAATAATTTAGAAGAGGATGAAGACGTGGAAATGAAAAATAGTATAACCCAGGGAGACAAACTACGTGCCTTAAAAAGTCAGAGACAGCCACGCTCCTCACCGTCCTGTGCATTTAGGTAGATCCATTTTAAACTTCTAAATTTATATTTTGCCTCCATTTGTGGATAGAATATTTAATCTTCTCTTTTGAATATCATTCTACAAGTGCCATGTTTACCTCTTGTTTTTTTGGTTTATTACTATTTTGTGTTGTTTATTATTTTGTCACTATAGAGAGCAGCTAAGTTTTAGAAGCTTACAGAAAGCAGCTCCTGCAATCTCAGTCTCTGGAAATCCCACCTTAAACTGCTATGCCATTGGGTGTCTCTGGGACTGTGTTCAAAATTCCGTTTGGAATTCTACTCTTCCCCCATAAGTGGATGTCCTATCTTGTGGCAAATCCTCACAGGTGTGCTGAGGCTTTTGTTTTGAATCTAGAGTGTGTAGAAAAGTATTGAATGCCAAGCTTTGGTATATCCTAACTCCTTAGTTTTATGTTCTATATTTGAGAATTGAATAAACAATTCTTAACCGGTGGTTGTAAAGTTATAGCCATCCTGAGTTTGAAATCTAAAATTACTAATCAGGATCAATTGATGGAACCTGACCTGTGATCATAACATTTAAAAGCTGCTAATGGTTCAGATTAGTTAAAAAAGAAAGTCTTTAGGATCAACGTAGGTACAAAAATCTGTGAATATCTTCCAGATTCTTTAATGTATGGGCTGGTGACAAGTTCACAAAAGATTATAATAGGAAATGGCTACTTTTCTTTGCCTTTTAAGTGAGAGACATGCACAGCAAGAGAGGTGTTTTGCCAGCATGATAACATGTCAAACAGCCTCACAGAGAGTTTAATATTCATGTGTTATCTGGGAGGATTATAACACAAGTCACATTAAGTCTGAACACATCGTTACCTATGCTTTGAGTACTAGTTCCTTGACCTGGGGAATGAAGGTTTATGTGGCTCAAATTCAAGGTGTTCGTTTTCCATAGCAACGTGAGAAGATGGGATACCAAGCCTGGTGCTTAGTAGTAACTGCCAACTACCGCTAGAAAATTGAAGAGACGTTATCATTCACTGAGCAGCTACTATGGTCAGGAGCCATGTTAGGTGTTTAGTTTGGTTATGAGGATTAACTGAATTAACACAAAAGGTATGCATCATTACCCACATTTGGGTTGGTTGCTTGAGGTTAGGGAGGTTAAATCCCTCCCCAGTGGGATGGAGTTGGAATAGAGCTTATATTCACACCCAGTACTGTTCAATCTGTGCTCTGCCCACTACGGATATCATCTAAGTCAGTGGAAGGTTCTTCAAGATTACTAATCTCTTTATTCGCCATATTTCCCCTTGAAACTCTTAAGAAAGGCTTTATATTGCTTAAAATCAATTTACAGATTTAGATTTGATTTTGAAGAAATCATAAGGGGGAGGAAGGGATAAATTGGCATATAGCTTGGCACATAAGTAGGCAAAGGAAGTGAGAGAACCTCCATGACACAAATTTTAGAAGGCTATTCCAATATGATTTTTCTATTTTTTTTAATTCTCAGAAACTTTCTCATTTTTTAGAATTCAATTTTCCTCAGAAATTTTCTCATTTTTTAGAATTCAATTTTCCTAACAGCATCATGGTATCATCATTGAACATTTTTTTACCCTGAGTGGCTGCAACACCACCTTCTGATTTAAAGAAATTTGCTGTAAATTAAAGATGAAACAAAATGACTAAAATGGTTTCCTGCTGATTCTAGGATTTATTTTAGAAACGGAATGAGTACTAATATCCATTTGGGAGGTTTCTCCCTTTTGCCAATTTAGTATTTTTACTGGTCTGACTCCATATGTTCTGCCTTTTGGTCTTTGCTTAAATGTATGAACCCGGTGATGTGTGAGCATTTGTCTTTGATTTCCGTAGGTTGGATGATATGAAAGGGCACCCAAGAGCAGTATCCCAGCCTTTCAGGTACTGTTACTGAGGTGAATTTCTAGTAGCTTGTAAATAAATGCTCCCCTTTAGATACATTTCCCAACCCTGAAACTGGTGCAAAACTGCACACGGCTTTTCACTTTTTAAGTCCCTTCCTTTCTGTTCCAGATTGTTACGCTGTGCCTTATTTTTAATGCTCACCATGAAGGGGATTTTGGTTTTCCTGAGGTGCCGCAGGTGTGGCTGTGGTAGGGACATCAGTGTAGTCTGTGCTTCTGGCACGTTCTGGGGTCTCTAAGAAACCACGCTTGCTCAGCAACGTGCCTTTCAATCCAGTGACCGATTTTGCCTCGAGCTTTTAACATTTCTGTTAGTCCTTTCCCCCCCTGGTTTTACATATGTTCTTTATTTTCTAGTTTTATTTCCTTCCCTGTCCTCCATCTGAAGAGGAAACATTAGTGTTTCTCTCTGGAAAAATGTCCCCCAAACAGTCCCGGGGTGGTTTCAAGATACCAGTCATACCAGAGTGTAGTGTAGGGCTTGGTGAGGGCCGTGGACATGTTTGCCAAGACTGTTGATGAGATAGGGGTAGAAAGCTGATTCACCCCTCACCTCTGGTTCTTATTCAGCCCGAGGTTTTAGGGTTTTTTTGTGCGGGCAGTTCGAAGAGGGCTCAGACTTCTCCAGAAACTTGAGCTGCTTTTTTGTACCACTTTTCCCATTCGTGTTTTAGAGGCAAACCATGTACTTGAAATGTTGTTTGTGGGGAGGATGATGAAGGAAAGAGTCTACAAGTAAGTAAGCTTTCTAGAGCAGATAGGAAAACAAGGTCCAGGTGCATTAAATGGTTTGTTCGGGTTAAAACAGGTTTGGTATTAAAACCATGACTGTACCCTGGCTGTTCAGGTTTGAGTCTGTTTTCCCTCAAACATTAATGAACATCCTCTCTGAGTCTGGCATTGGACTAGCCACTGTGAATAGAAATGAGAGACAGTCCTTTGCCCTCAGTAGAGCTTATCTCAAGGGAAATAGACAAATACCAGACAATGAAGTATGGCATAAGGGCTATGATTTGCTATGAGAATATATGACGAAACAGTATGCTTACCCTGCCTGGGAATTCAGTGAAGGCTTGCTGTATAGGGAACTAGCTGATTGGACAAGCAAAGGATAAGCAGTGGGAATGAGGCAGAGGGAGGTGGAGGCGAGGTAAGGAGAGGAGAAGATGCTCTGGCAGGAAAAACAGCATATGCAAACTGGACACAGGTGTGAATGCAGTCCATTCAGGGAACTCAGAACAGTTCATGTCGCTGGAGTAGAGGTGCCTAATGGGAAAGTGTGGGTAGAAAGGACCTGCTCACAAAGGCTGGTGCCAGAGTTTGGAGGGTTTCATAAGTACAGCCAAGGAGCTCCGGCTTCCTGGGCACTGAGGAAAGATTAAATGGTTTAAACAGTGGGGTGACGTAATTAAATATTTTAGATTCCACTGGAGACTATTCAGAATTTGAATTTTAAGGAATAAGATTAAAAGAGGTTGCTAGTAGTCAAGAGGAGGGAGTAGTGATGGCCTCAGCCAGGGCAGTTGCGGAGCGGAAGGAGCAGGACAGGTTTAAAACATAAAGAAGTAGAACTAAGGACATGCGAAGAAAGGATGCTGCCATCAAAGAAGGGAAGTGACCAAGCATGGCAAGATCATGGTTAAGGACAGGACTATGGAGTCTGGATTTGAATCCCAGCTCTGTGCCTTGCTCGCTGAGTGACTTTGGATGAGGAGCTTTTCCTCTGTGGCCCCATTTCCTCACTTGCAAAGGGGGATTGCAATCTTAGCTACCTCATAGGGTTGTTGTGAGGACGAGCTGAATTACCATCTATAAGGCTCTCGGAAGAGAGTCTGGCACAGAGCGAGTGCTCTGTTGGCTTTGACTGCTGCTGCTGTCACTGTTGTCGTGACCTGCTGTGATCTCTTTAATGTTACTAGTTTACCGTGTCTTAGTTGGTTGCTGGGTGTTAGCATGACACAGCTCTTGTGTGACATTTTGCCCCTTTGTCTCCACAAAGATTGACTTCGTCCCCACAAGGATCTGCAACTACTTTGAAGACCTCGAAAGTGGCTTTGTCCCCTTCAGCGACGGCCAAAAGGATAAACAGGGGTTCTTTGTCCTCAGGCGCCAGTGTACGAAGGTGATTTTTCTCTACTCAGATACCGGTGGGAGGGAAAGGGAGTCTGTAGCAGACAAGGAGTTTGGCTGAAGTTTGTCAGAGGCGGGGACCAGGGAGAAGGGGAGAAATCACAGAAGGCCCTGTGACTCTCTGGGTCTTCTGTTCCTGTCTTACGGGGTGGGGGACAAGGCCGTGGAGGGAGTGCCGTATGGCATCCCTTTCTACAGTGAAGCTCCAGCTTGCCTAACGTGATCAGGAAATCAGAGTTCCGTGGCACATACTAATGCTATGTGGTATGGTCATTTCTCCTGCGATGGGTAGGGATGTTAGGATGAATACGTGTAAGCTAAATCTTACACTTAAGTCTACTTTTTACTCTCCCGTCATATAGCCCTTTTCCTGTACTCTCCACCTCAGGACACATAGAGCCGCCAGATGTACTGTCTCAACATCTCCTGTCAGAGTAGTTAAGCCAGCTTCTTGGGTCTGAATTAACTGCTTAGACAGGAAGTTAATGTGTATAACTCAAGGCCCCATATCATACTATCACCAAGAGCAATAAAGAAGCCATTCTGTCGCCATTTGCATCGATCAGAACTGTCTGCATCCCATTCCCCTCATGTCCTAATGATGTGTTTTAGAAACATGAACTCTGCATGAGCATACATCGTTGTCTATGTCCCCCCCCCAACCTGTGTTTTCCATTCAGCTTTTCCATAAACTCCCGGCTAGCCAGTTCTCTAGGCAACTTGAACGCTGCGACACAGGAGCCAGAGAACAAAAAGTCCTCCTCATCCTCTAAGGCGGGTTTCATAGCCAGCCCGCTCACCAGCCTCTTGAACGGCAGCTCCCAGCCACCTGCCAGAAACTACCCTGAGCTCAACAACAACCGGTACAGCCGGAGCAACAGCAGCGGTGGGGGCACCCTGAGCAGCCAGCCGAGCCCACACGGCGTCAAGACCGAGGAGCACCCCACCCTCCTCCGGCCCTCCTACACCGGCCTCTCTTCTTCCTCAGCGAGATTCCTGAGCCGTTCAATCCCCGTAAGTTCGCAGACACCACCGCTTGGTCCTCAGAACCCTGAGCGCAACTTTTGTGCCTTGCCTTCCCAGCCAAGGCTGCCACCCAAGAAATTTAATAGCGCCAAGGAAGCCTTCTGAGCGATGCCTTCCCTCTGTGCTGTGGAACTGTCCATGCACGTCCATTCTGCTGGCTCCTCTTCAAGTAAATGCCAAGTTTCAACTGGGGTTTCTTCCTTCCTTCTTTTTGTCTCCTCCTCCCACTCCTTTTTAGGTGATTTCGAAGGGAAACAGCTTTCATTCCCTTCATCATGGACACTGTTGACTCAAGTTACTTTTCAGTTAAGTTTGCAAATCACTCTGAATATCTGGTGCCAAGCCAGGTGCTGATTCATACAGTTCACGGTATTGGCTTTGGTTGTGGTGGTTTTAGGAATCGTTGCTTTTCCACAGCACATGCTAATGAATGAATTTCAGAGTATTTATTTTTAAGATTTTATTTATTTATTTGGCAGAGAGAGACACAGCGAGAGAGGGAACACAAGCAGGGGGAGTGGGAGAGGGAGAAGCAGGCTTCCCGCGGAGCAGGGAGCCCGATGCGGGTCTCTATCCCAGGACCCTGGGACCATGACCTGAGCCGAAGGCAGACGCTTAACGACTGAGTCACCCAGGCACCCCCTCAGAGTATTTAAATGTGGAAGGTGCTGAATGAACAGGATCTTCTCAGAACTAACCATTAGGCCCCTGAATAAGTCACCTCCTGCAGGGCACTGACCCTACAAAATTAACATGGCAAACGGAAGATGTTGATAAGGAAGACTTATAGGTCGGTATCTGGGATGTCGGGGAGGGGAAGGCAGAGTATCAGGAAGATGTTTAGAATTAGCCATCACTCTTCCGGTGACAGGACGAAAGTTTGCCAAACACATTCTCCCCGTGAACTCAGTATTTAGGTTGCCAAGCTCCCCCCAACCCAAGCTTTTAATCAGAAATCCCTGTTAGGTCAAATCTGTTGGTTCACCCCCTGCTATGAATCACTTTAATCACATATTTTGATTGCCTCGAAGGGAATCGAGATCTATGGGAATGTGAGTTTTGATTTGAGAGAACAAGAACAAAATGGGAAGGAGAAATCGATCTCACAGATCAAAGAAATGTGAATCGGAGTGATTCTAGTCAGGGCACAAGCCAGCTCCAGTGTCCTGGGAGGGCTGAGACCTGGGATTCCTTCATGCCTGATATTCTTCAAACATGTCCTCAGCCATTGTCCAGGGAGAGGCTGATTTCTGCAGGAGAGCGGGGGGAGGGCAGCGTGCCTTTTTTGGGGAACAATAGCCCCATGGGAATAGTTAACGAGACCCACTTTCCTTAGATGATAGTTTAGGGACCACTTTTCCTAACACGAGGATGCAGTGCATGTGTGTGCACGCACATGTGTGTTGATTGGACTTATTACCACTCTCATCCCTACCTCAGCCTCTTTTCAGAGGTTTTTTTTTTTTTTTCTTTCTCTCTCTCTTCTATGCACACACAGTCCTTCCTGGCACACACAGTTGACCCTTGAGCAGCACAGGCTTGAACTGCAAGGGTCCACTTATACATGGATTTCTTTCAATAAATATGGTACAGTAAGTGTGTTTTTCTTATGATTTTCCAAATAACATTTCCTTTTCTCTAGTTTACTTTATCGTAAGAATTCAGTATATAATACATAGAACATACTAGTTGACTGTTGATGTTCTTGCTCAGGCTTCTGGTCAACAGTAGGCTATTAGTAGTTAAGTTTTGGGGGAGTCAGAAATTTTGGGGGAGCAGATTTTTGACTACGTGGGAGCCGGCACCCCTAACCCATGCATTGTTCACATTGTTCAAGGGTCAACTGTATAATTTTCCCCGTAAGATTTTATTCCCCGTGATGTTTTTCAACATTATTTTAGATTCCAGTATAGATCAGGGCCCCAAGCAACTGCCAGCCCACTCCACCCCTTAATTTGCCTCTGATCCCACTACATTATGCGTATAGGTGTATCAATAAAACTTAAATCTTAGTCGTTAGGGGGTTAGATGGAAAATGATAGGTATTCACCTTTTCACAACAAGGTTTACAAGTCGTGTGCTTCCCAGCAGGAGTTGAGTTGTCAGTATTTTCATCTACCGATTGTGGGTCAGCCTCGTTTTTAGACCAGAGCACAGACCTGTTCGTTTTCGGAAAAAGTGTTACACATACAGATATATAGATAATTATATAAATATCTTGCTGGTTTCATGGCGAAAGAGTTAGTGAAACCTACATTTGCAGCTGAATACCAGAAGCATTAGGAGCCTGACAAAGAATAGCATTCTACTTTTTCTGGATCTCAGTTTTCCTCTTGGCTAGTTGAAGTATGGGGGTGTTCTTTAGGTGATGGTTGATCTCCCCCCCCATATTTATATAATTTAGTTTTTGGTGTCATTCCATGTTTTGTTATTTGTCTTCACCTCGCCTCCTTCTCCTCATCCCTCTCCTGGCCTGAATAGAGTGATTTTCCAATAATTAAAGTAATAGTCTGTGTGGGCAGCTGCTGCTGTTCCCTCTTCTGCCTCTTAAATCTGTCATCTTATTGTAAAGAGAAGCATTTAGAAATAGAATCGCCAGCATGACAACATTTTCCTCCTTCTCACCCTCCCGGGAAGTAAGAAAAATAGCAGGTCTCTTAGGGCTGACTTTCGCTCCTTTCTCTTTGCCTAGAAAACCTCTGTGGGAGGGAAGGCTCCCAAAAAAGTCTAAATTCAGATGGAAATTCCCATGTTAATGTGGAATAAAGCAGGAGGTGGTGAGTTGTTCTCCTTTACTGGTCCGCTACAATTGCTTTTCTAATTGTGGATTTCTTGTCTAAAGGAGGTGGTCCTTCCCTGCAGGGCTTCCTAAGCTCTGAGGCATATGGTCTCTGAAGAACGAGGAATAAATCACTCAACAGAAATGTTTTCAGATCCTTGGGTAGGAAATGAAGTCTGTACGGCAATATCCTCCCAGCACCTTTAAGAAAGACCCAGAAACTCCTAGGGGATGAGGGTGACGTGTGTTTAGAGGGAGTCTAATATTTTAGAAGCCTCAATTAGCATCTCTTTTGAAAGCTGCAATTGCTCTCTCACTTTATGCAGCAGTTCAGCCCCCAGAAAAATGTAAAAATGATTTCCTTGTTCTGTCATTAGACGCTTTAACACAGAAAACAAGAGCAAATGTTAAGGAATTCTTCTGGTGGTGACAGAAAGCCGAGAAACCATCCGATTTTATTTTTATTTATTTGGCCTCTTCTGTGAGCCTCAAGGTTTCTATTGCCCAGGACAGTGCACAAGGTTTCATTTTTATTAACCCACTTATTGTTAAAAAAAAAAATCAGTTTTCCCTTCCTGACATTGAGAGGAGTTTTCAAATGCTTAAGAAGTGAGGGACGTGTGATTATGGTGTGGGTGGGGTGGAAGTATTTTATTAAATTGAAATTACTTGAGGTATCTGTCTTGAATATTTGCTCTGTTTTATTTTTAAAATGAGACTTGCCACTGAATTGCTATTCATCTCCGCTGTCCTTACCTGACCCCTGAAGTCTGGGTTAGGTCGTGATGCCTTCCCCATGAGCTCTTCTATACCCTGCCTTGGTCTTAATCAATACTCTTCTCGCTCTGCATTTTACCCCTCTGTTCACTTATCTGTATCCCCCACTAGACTGTAAGCTCTGTGAGGTCAGGGACCGTTCCTCTGTTTTCTATACCACAGTTGTATGCTCTGTGCCTAGCATACAGTAGGCACTTGTTAAGTATTTCTTCAATGGATATATGAATGCTTGGGTGTTTAAATGAGTCAATGTGTTAAGAGTTATTGCCTCATTTTAAGGATGAAGAACTTGAGGGTTTGAGAGGTTAAATATTAAATATTTTGGCCTAGGCCTAGATTGTACCACAGATATGTAGCAGAGGCATAATTTGCACCTAAATCAGTTTGACTCCAAACAGCATATTCTTTTGGTTACGTTATGTCACACATATACCGTGGTAGGTGTTTTTAAAAGACAGGGGTAGCTAAAGGATAGCTCATTTTTTCAGGAGAGGTCAAGGAAAGATGTGAAGAAGGGATACCACTTTAGTCAGGGGGGATGAATAGGAGCCTGCTGGGGATCTAGCCATGAAAATAGGAAGAGGAGAAATGGTCGTTGCAGGCAATGGGAACCATACGACCAGAAGTGCAGCCTTGTACTGTAGTTAGGCTCTTGGGTTCTGAAGACAGGTAGACCTGGGTTCAAATTTTCTCTCTGCCATTTCCTTATGGTGAGTACTTTGGCAAGTTATTTAACCTTGCTGAGCCTCAGTAAAATGGGAATAATGGGAATGATAATAATCAAGGGCAGATCTAGGTTTTGTGCACCCTGAAGCTTATACAATTTGGTGGGACCTATTTAAGATAAAGAAGGCAAAATATGATTTTTTGTGAATTTTATACAACATAGGGGTGTGTACTTTGAAAGGAGTTTGTGTGGCTATGGGGCCTTGAGGCTTATGGGGTAGTGATCATAGTATCTTTGTCATAGGGTGGTTGTGATGATTAACTGAGGAGATAAATCATATGAAGTAGTTTACCCTGTTGGCTTACAGATGGTGCTCAATAATTGCTAGCTAGTATTGTTTTAAGAGCAGTGAGTATTCCAGTGTAGCTAAAGCCAGGGGAGGTCACCTGTAGTTGAGGCTGGAAAGTTAAGCTGAAGCCAAACTGGGAAGCGTAGCATCAGCTATCTGAATCTTGTCAGCAGAGTGGCTTGATCACATCTGATCCAATGAAGATAATTCTGGCAGTCGTGTGCAGGACAGCTCTTGGTGGAAACCCTGAAGGTAGGGAGACTGGTTTGAGTCCTATCTGCTGTCCTCCGTCCCTGCCTCAGCAGGTGTCCTTGGGTAAACGCTATGCTTGTTCAACGATTATTGCATGTTTTACTACACACAATAGTATTGATGCTGTTAAATAACCATACATGACCAACAGATCCACCATATAT